GATTTTTCCCATCTTATAAACAAAGACACTTGAGCCTCTGCCTGAGGTCACATAGCTGGTGAGTGGCATTAATCCTGGTCCCATCGGTCCCTATATACATTTCCAGAGGACTGAGGGGAGGAAACACTGCCACACTCCTGCCTCATCTATAGGAGGGAGGAGCCACTGCTCAGCCCCACACCAGCTGCCTTCAGGGAAGGCTGGGGAAGGCTGGCTGTAGTGTTCCCTACATGTGTCCTTCCAAGGTGGTCCCTGGAACAGAGATTAACAGAGCAGCCACCCATTGATCTGGGATCTGTCACTGTGAGCCATGTCCGTGTGCTTGCCTCCCATCAGCCCAAGTCAGCCCAAGAGCCTGGGACCAGGCCCCCTCAGTGTCCTCCCGGGATCCTGGAGTCTCAAAGGAAGGGTCACTGGAAATGGGGATGAAGATGGGAGGGGAGGGCACACCAGGCAAAGGGATCACATGTTGGCAAAGTCCTGAATGTGGGGAAGGCTTGGGGAGGACTAAGCAGCATCGGGCCAGGGAGGACAACGGAGCAGAGGCATGGGGAGGAGGGGAAAGTAGAAAGAAGGTGGTCCCTCTTCTAGCAACAAACCAGAGCTGTGGAAGGCAGAATGCACAGGTGGAGAAAGAGAAATGGGGGAAGGGGAGGCCGAGGGGAGCAGAGCACAGGTGGAAGGGGTCCAAGAGGTGAGAGTGCAGAGCCAAGAGGCAGGGGCGCAGTGGGGGGCAGGGGGAAGGGCAGGAAAGGAACCAATGGTGGAATTTCACGAGGGACCACGGTGTGGTTTAGGAGGTCAACCCAATCTGTTTCCTAAGGGGCTGCAGCTGGCAGACCCAGCAGTCCCTCGGTGTCTGCAGGTGCCACTGGACAGCCTTCATCCAGCCTGCTGTTTACTGGCATAACCCCTAGCTGAGGCATGACTGGGGTCTGCAGTGCCAGGGTGAGCTCCAGGAGAGTGTCATGCTCCAGGGGCCCACCATGCCCAGATTCACAGGACCCTAAACAGGAAGACACGCTTCCTCTCAGCAGTGCTCAGACCTTCCAAGTCCAGGGACTCCCACTGGAGACACGGTGGGGACTTCTCAAATAAAGAACAGGCCATGGTCTTCTCTGGTCTCAGCTCTGCAGGGGCTCAGTAGACCCCCCCGAATGAATGAATGAATGAACAACCATGTGAATCCTGACTGCAGGGAAGCTGGGGTGCCAGGCTGGGGCACCTTGAATCCCTCACTTATCAATGCCTTCTTGGAGAGGACCCCTGGGAAATCCTAAGGACACTGAAGGCAGCTCAGTCCAGGCCTCCTGGGCCTGCAAGGAAGTGGATGAGCCAAGTGCCCAGATGGCTGACGTGTGACAGAGGGCTGCCAGTCCCACCTCCTCCTCAAGAGTCCTCCCGGTGGGACACATTGACAGGCATCCTAGAAGGCTTGGAGTTATGGGAGCAGAGGGAACCCATAAGGCAGAATTTCTGGCTTTCCTAACACACACACCCCGACAGTGCTTCATGTGATGGAGATGCTGCATGGTATGAGAGCCTTCAGGCTCCGTAACCACACCTGGGTTCGAACCTCACTGCTCCCACTTTCACACTGTGCCAAGTGTGGCGGCACAGCCTTGAGTGACTGCCTTAACATCTCTAATGCTTTCACTCCAGGTGTGTGCAAAGGGGACACCCACTCAGAGATGGGAGGTGCTGAAGAGCTGCTGCCGGCACAGCACCCAGCACAGCGCCCACCAATCGCACATGCAGCCGTGGCTGCCATCACGCATTCCCTCCAGGGGTGTGGATGGTGCAACAGGACTCATCCTCCATGCTTAAATTGATGGGAACTCAAATGAATATCTGCCTGAGAACTGCACAGCACTTCTGAAATCATCTCATCAGGCCAAATCACAGCACCCTGTTCATATCAGAAAGTCAGGATGTCTCTGGTGGCCAAAACCCGGGCTTCCTCCTCCCCTCCATGTATCTTCACCTTGCCCAGGTGAACCCAGAAGGGAGCCAGGATCCCAGCACTAGCCACAGCTCGGCTGGGTGCCTCTCAGGCCCTGATGGCTCATGGAAAGCCAGAGGGTTGGAGCAAGAAAAACTGAGTTTTGCATGGGGGAGCAGTAAGACGGTTCTGAACCCCATGACTCAGCAGATGCTGGGCCGGAAGTGTGGGAGCTGGTCTGGTTGACTGTGGTCAGAGCCCCAAGTACCCGATTCCTCCCTCCCTGTCCTTCAGGCGGCACTGTCCTTCCCCACAGGAAGATTTCCCAAGGTATCCTCACCCCACGACCTTGACACTTACCCCTGGGGCTCCCAGAAACCCCTTTCCCAGCAAATAGCCCCTCATTCCTCTGCTCAGAAACTTCCAGGGGTCCCCTGGGATTCCCCACAGCCAGCGTGCAGGACCCTTCCCCATTCCGGCCTCCCAGGTACCTCTTTCACTTGGCCTTCTCCCCCGCCCGGCCAGCAAGCTTCCATGTCATCCCCAAAAGGGCCCAGCCCGCCGTCCCCTTCCTGCCTCTTTCCAGAGGGCCCCGGGTCTCTCCTGCCTCCAACCTCCAGAGAGGAAGCATCCACACCCAGCCTTTCACTTACAAGGGGTGTGACCAAGGTAAATGACCAGACCCCTCTTAGCCACCATTTTCTCATCTGCAAAATGGTCCAACAATAATGAGCTCCTTGGGTTGCTATCAGAATGAAATGGGAAGCTGCACATGAAGCGTTTATCATGGCTCCAGGCTTCCACAATGGCATCCTGCACCCCCCAGTTCGGTTTTCCGTGTTCTTCCTCCCACTGTTCCCAGAGGATGCACCTTACACTCTTCCCTAGCTTCCCTCCTTCCCAAGTACTTGGCTCAAGGCTGAGCAAACTGAATGCTCCAGAAACGCAGTGATATGGCAGTCAACAAAGTTCCATGGGCCACTCCTCAGAAGTGGCGTAAAAATGGATTCCATCATCATGCACCAAGAAGGCACTGCCACCTCACTGCCCTGCCCCGTGCTCTGGGTCCACAGGGCTCCCCCCATGTGGTCAGGAAAGGGCCCACAAGCAGCCCCTGCCCTGCCTGGCATAAGCCTCACCGCAGCAGCACTGGCCTGCCACACCCTACCTCCCACGTGCATTTCTTGGGGCCATCTGGTCCCTGGTGCTGGCGAATTCCTCCCAATGACAACGTAATTCACCAGGTACTAGGGCCTGCCAGCTCTTTGGGCAAGGAATTCAGCCCAGAGGCTCTGAAGGGGCTTCCCAGGGGAGGGCCGAGTGGCAGGTGGCAGGGTGGGAGCAGGCACACTCTGGGCAGAGGGCGCAGTTCCGAGGGAAGGACCTGCCACAGCTCCATCCTCCTCCTGCTCAGCTGCTGCTGGGAGCCTCTGCCTGTCACCCAGATCCAGGCCTCTTCAGGGTGTGGTCCATGCAGTGCCACAGGGAAGGGGACCTGTGAGGCTACTCATCGCTGGGCACAGCCCCAGGGAGGGCCGGGCAAAGAGACCAGGAGAAGAGGGGACACTCCAGGTGTCCTTGTCCGCCCTAACCGGGCCTCTCACCAGGCACTTCCAGCCGCCTCTTTGAAAAGCTCCACGGGGAAGGGCCGAGTCAGCACTCTGGCCACAACTCTCTCCCAGGGCCTGGCTTTAAAGTGTGCCCTGGGGCTCTGGGAATGGCCCTCCTCCCCACCCTTCCCCCTCTGCCTGCCTCCTGAGGCCCTGCGCAGAGGAGCAGATGAAGGCAGGAGTTGGAGGAGACAGGGGAACCGCCTGCGAGGCTGCCCTTAGGTGGGTTAGGGGGTTACCCAGCCTGGTTTGCGTCTGTCCGACATTCAATGCCAGGTGGGCCCAGAATTGCTCCGGGGGCTCTGGTTGGTGTGAATGTGGGTCATCGAGGCCCCCACCTTTCCCTCTGGCAGATATGTGTCTTGCGCCTACGTCACACCAGGCCAACCCAGCAAGCACGAGCCAGGCTAGAGGCCCCAGACTCTCCAGGGGGCTGTCTGGTCCTTGCACAAAACTGCAGACACTGCACGGACTGTCCCCATCCCCCAATTAAACAGCCAGGAGGACCAAGCTGGATCAGCACTGGGCTGTAATCACCACTCTCCTTGGCGATTCCCGAGTTCACTCCAGACACCCTCGCTCCACTCCCCCAGAAAGTGGATCTTTCCTTTTAACTCTCGGATTCTTGGCCAGGGATCTGTCTGTCCCCACACTTCACTGTTACCCCTGAATAAGGGGCAGGAAGAGAAGGGCGCAGTTTCGGGGTTTTCCGATTTTTGTTTTCGGTTGTTTGGGTTTTGGTTTTTGCATCTTTAGCAGCTCTTTTGCCGCTCTCTGGAGGGCCACCAGGATGCCCAGAGCTGCCCACGCTACACAGCATCACAGCACGGCAGCGCCCAGCCGGTCGCTGCGTCCCGGTGGCAGAAGCCTCCTCACAGGGCTGCTGAGCTCACGCGGGGCGGATGCCGCATGCCACAGCCTCCTTGAACACTAAGTGTGGAAAAGAAAATATCAACGCCCACGAGATGCAGGGGCCGGGGGGACGGTGGGGGGAAGCGAACCCTCGCGGATAGTTGGAAAGCCTTCCTAACGCACCACTCCTGGGACAGAGCCAGGAGTCCGGGTCTCCGGGCGCGCCCTGCAGGTCCCCCTGCAAAGGACTGGCCGGCGCCGGGTGGTCCGGGAGCGCCGAGCGCGGGGGTCCTCGCGAGCCCACCCGCTTCCTCCAAGGCTGCTGGAGTGCCCCCGGCTCCCCTCCCCCGCCGCCCGCCACATCTGGTTCCACTCAGGTCCTCCCCCACCTCCAGGCGCGCTCCTCCTCCCCTCTCCTCCCCCGCTTTCAGAAAAGCGGAGACGAGTTTTAAAAACCCAGTCACACACACACGCACACGCACACGCACACACGCTTCTGGAGAAAAGGGGGTAAAAGGAGGGAAAGTCGAGAGCGGCCCGCGCCCCGGCGCTCCCCCCTCCGGGCCCCGAAGTTGGCCAAGTTGGCAGCTCCTTACCCGGGAGGGCGGCGTTCCCGGGGGCGCCAGGGCGGCCGAGGTGCAGGCCCCCGAGGAGCAGGACGCAGCGCAGCAGGTGACGAGGCCAGGACGGGGGGGCTGGCCAGCCGAGCCCCATCTCCGGGCGCGGCGCTCAGCGGACGCGGGAACCGAGGGCGCACGGGCGCGACGCGCAGTGGCAGCCCCGGGGCTCGACTGTGATGACCGCCCACAAGGGGCTCGCGTCCTCCTCTGGGTCGGGACGAAGTGATGCCTCCCGGGGAGGAGGAGGAGGAGGGAGGAGGCAGGCCGGGCGAAGGGAGGGCGGGGGGAGGAGCGCAGACCCGGGGAGGAGGGTTTGAGGGGCAGAGGGGAAGGGAAGCGGGTAGCGTGGAAGGGGAAGGGGAGGAGGCGCGAGCGGCGCGCGGCTGGGGCCGGGGCAGGGGGGAGAGTGTCGGGAAGGAGTGAAAGGGGTGGCGGGAGAGGAGGATACGCCGAGTCCAGGAGGACCCTGGCGCGCGCCCTTTCTCTTGCTGCCCTGTTTCCCAATCTCTGCCAGCCTCGCCTTCCCTCTCTCCTGTCCCGGCCAGGAGCCTCAGACGCTGCGTCACAACTCCCCGGCTGGCGCGGGCGGGGAAGCAACTGCAAAACTTTCCGCAAACTTCACGGCGTGGTGGGACCTGGGCTGCGAGGTCTGGCCGGCCCGGGGCGGGGGCGTGCAGCTGACCCAGGTGGCCAGACCCGGGCCGGCAGCATCCGCCCCGCCATCCCGCCTCTTTCTGCCTACGTCTCCAGCAGCCCAGCATCCATGCCGAGGAGGACCCCTCCCCCGGTCTGGTGGGGAAGGGGCGGAGCTCAGGGCTTGGCCACCAGGGTGAAGATTGGGGGAAGGGGAGGCAGGGCCCTTGTTCCGTGTGCAGAACACAAACAATTCTTGCACGTCTTATTTTAGCATTTTCGTGACCCCTGCATCAATGTCCCCGGCGTAGGAGTGTAGCACTTTTGCTAGTTGGGGCTGCATCCAGAAACCTGGGGAAAATCTGTCCACTGGACGTCCCAGAAGACCGACATCATCACTCCCAACAACTGGACTGCTGGCCGGTAGCAAACGACCAACTGGAAATTTCATAAAAGGGAAGACAACTCAGTGTTACGCAACAGGTCTCCGCAGCACAGAGCCGGGACTGGGGAGTCAGGATGCTGGAGTCCAGCCCTGCTTCTCTGCGGATTACCTGTGCGACCTTGGGAAAGCCTCTTGGGATCTCAGGACATAGGGCAGGACTGAAACATTGAGACCGTACGTGCAAAGAAGACTCATTTCTCCTACCACAAGTAATCAAATAAAAACACTATGACACTGTAATACGAACCAGGTGCAGTGGCTCACGCCTGTAATCCCAGCACTTTGGGAGGCCAAGGAGAGAGGATAGATTGAGCCCAGGAGTTCAAGACCAGCCTGGGCAACATAGGCAGACCCCATCTCATTTTGTTAATATAAATTTTTAAAATAATAAAACTGTAATATAAATTGTATTGTTTCCTGTCTTGTACACCTTGGTATGGTTTTTGAAATAAATTCATTTTTTTCTTTTTATTCCTATCTTGGGTAAATGCTTCCCCAACTCTGCAATGGGTGCGTTGGTCAGAGATGCTCATTCAGCTCTTCCGGTCTCTGCCAGGCTGAGGCTCCTGGCAAACAGTTCGTGTTAATAGAGCTTTGAAGCAACCCCCCACTGAGATCCCCTAGAGGCATCTAGACCACCTTTGGCCTTGAAACATGGTTAGCAGCCAGGCCAACAAAGCCCCTGCACGCCACAGCTAGCTTCAGCAGGTCTGACAGGGCCAGCGGCCCCCGCACCCCCGCGGTGGCTGTGGCTCCACTGCCCCTTGGGACATGTCTTCTTGGCCTGGCATGTTCTGGGATCTCAGCACTCTGCACACAACAAGCCATGCCGGGACTGCCTCAAAGATCCCCCTCTTGGCCTCCCCCCTTGCACAATCCTGTGATCTCCAAAGGATTTGAGGACTTGCTGGCTTCAGCTAAGATGCTGTCTCTGTCTGAACAGCCAGAACACAGGATACTTCTTTCCCGAAACAGGGCTGGATTCCCCGCTCCCCAGCAGCTTGAGTAGGTTTTGGCGTTTCCTGCTGGTCTTCCCCACCCTTGTGCTGCTCCTGGCAGGACTGAATCCCACTCCTTGACATCACCAGTGCACATGGTGGGGCCAGAGTCCACCACTAGCCAGCACCAGGTCCCGCCATGCCCAGCACACAGGAAGTGTGCTCTCCTCTCTTCACCCACCAGTTCAGCAAGCACTGACTGCTAGCCCTGTGCCAGCTGCTAGAGAAACAGAGACAGGCAAACACAGTTGCAGCCCTAGTGGAGTCTCATTTAGTGGGGTTAAAGAAACGATTTGGCATCTTCCAGGCAAAGCACTCAAGGGCTGAGGAGCACGAAAGTGTGCTGCACTAGCAGAGACAGAGGCTGGTTCAAGCCTCCAAGGCCCAGTTCGAGTCTCTGTTGAGGGCGAGACTTCCTCCTCCCCCATGACATGGTTCCACACTGTGTTCTGCTGACGTCTGCAGCCACCAACTGCCTTTGATCTTGGGGCAGAAAGCAGGGCCACATCTGGGAGATTCTTCCTGTGGAGAATCCAGCCCAGTTCCCCACTATGTAAGGATCCTATCTGTGCAGGTTCAGCTGTCAACGAAACATCGTCACGGTCTGGGACCGTGGGACCAAGGAGTGTTGGGTGTTGTGAGCAGCATGGGGCCTTTAGGGAGCTTCTCACCAGCACCCAGACCTTCATCTACTTCCAGAAGGGCCAGCGTCTCTGTGCCCACAGTTGAACAGCTATTTATGGAGGGTCAGGACGTGTCAGGCATCAGGCTAGATGCTGGAGGCTTAGTGAGGTCTCTGACTTGTCCAGGGGATTTTTTGCCAAGATGCTATTCACTATCATGGAACTGAAACTGAAAATTCTCCCTAGACGCTGATCAACTGTCAGCCAGCAACAGCTTCTGGGGGTGATACGGTATGGATCTGTGTCCCCACCCAAATCTCATGTCAAATGGTAATCCCCAGTCTTGGAGGTGGGCCCCAGTGGGATGTGACTGGATCATGAGGGTAGATTTCTCATGAATGGTTTATCACCTCCATGCCCAGCTAATTTTTTTTTTCTGGATTTTTAGTAGAGATGGGGTTTCACCATGTTAGGCTGATCTCGAACTTCTGACCTCAGGTGATCCACCCACCTCAGCCTCCCGAAGTGCTGGGATTACAGGCGTGAGCCGCCAGGCTCCACCCAGTCTCAGGTATTTCCTTATAGCAATGAGAGAATGGTCTAATGGGGGGTGGGGGGGGCACGGGGGAGGGGGTTGGTGTCTGCTGATTTAATCAAAACCAGTTTAGGCCAGGTGTGGTGGCTCAGGCCTTGTAATCCCAGCGCTTTGGGAGGCCAAGATGGAAGGATCACTTGAGGCCAGGAGTTAACAATCAGCCTGGGCAACATAGTGAGACCAGATCTCTCTAAGAAATTTAAAAATTGGCTGGGCGTGGTCATGGTGGTATGCACCTGTAGTCCCAGCCACTTGGGAGGCCAAGACAGAAGTGCTCGTGCCCGGGATTTGAGACTGCAGTGAGCTATAATCACACCACTGGACTCCAGCCTGAGCGACAGCGAGATCCTGTCTCTTATCAATCACTCAGTTTAGTAGAAAGAGTATAGACTTTGGAGCCAGAGAAACCTGAGTTCAAATCCTGGCTTCCCCAATTCACAGCTTTGTGACCTGCAGCAAGTTGTTAATACTTTAGCTCTGAGCTCACAGTTCTTACTTGTAAATGGGGCAACTTGAGATGTTTCCTACCTTGGCAATTAAATATTAAGTGTAAAGCAATGGCATGGCCCCTGGCTCAGTGGGGATGTTCAGGTAATGTGGACCCCTCCCTGTTTCCCATCTTCCTTTGCTATTTGGACATCTGGGTGTCTCCCTTATTCCTTACCCTTCTCCCTGCCTGTCTCTCCCCTACCCTCCCACCCAAGCCTGCCCATGAGATGGGCACAGATCAGTTTTATCGTGTTGTAACAGAGTTTTACTTTGCCTGTGAAAACAACACAACATCCCTGCATTTTCTGAACGTCTCCATGTTTAACTGCACAAAAATGGCAACCTAAAGTGTACACTAACGTAATTAGAAGCAGGCTCACTTTGGCTAATAAATGTGTGCCCATAAACAGCTCAGCATGGGGCAGTGGGATGAGTCAGGCCCAGAGACTGGTGAGTGGGAGTTCCGGCTCTGCCATTCACCTGCCACATGTCCTCCAGCAAGTCACTTTCCTTCCCTGAGTCTTGGCGCCCTGTGAGGTGAAAGTTTTGGTGCCATTACTCACTGTGCTTAGGGTTCCTCTGGCATTGCTCTGTTCTCTGGTTCTGTGGCTCAGCAGCCTCTCCAGTCAGAGGGTGCCAGGGGAGCAGAGCACCCCAGCAGGCCAGGTCTGTGACAAAGGCTTAGGAAAGGAGAACGCAGGGCAGGGAGAATGAACTGGATGGCCAGGTAGGGTAGGAGGCTATGAAGAAAGACTTGGCCAGCCCTTGCCTGCAGCAACCAGAAGAGGCAGTGACCCCAAAGGGTTCTATATGACCTGCTCCAAGCCAGGGGAGAGGGCTGGCCAAATGTGGGGCTGGCCTGAGCAGATCTCACCCTCTCTTCTCCCTGGCTCCTGTATCTTGAATCCCCAGGGCTCCACTCAGACAATCCCTCCAAGTCCATCTGGCTACACCCTCATCTATAGCACCAAGGATCCCAGACAGGACTGGGCTAAAGAGGGAAGGAAGAGGGCAGGCTCAAGGTTCAGGAAGATCCACATTTCAAGATTTGGTTCAACCTCTCCCAAGGGTAAGGAACTCTTTTTTCCCACACCCACCTCACCAGGGAACTCACAGCTGGTCTGTCTTCTCTTGACTGGTCCACCGCATTGCAGCTCCAGCCCTCTTCACCCCTCATCCAGCCAGTTACAACCTGACAATTCTGCCTGCTTTCTCTAGGTTCTTTCCCTTCTCCCTTCTGTGGAGAACACCTAGAAGGGCTCATCCATCCCAGGAAAGCCTCTGAGTTTACATCTACTCACTTCCAACCCAAGGCCTGTATTAGAAAAGGGATCCTTAGGCCAGGTGCAGTGGCTCATGCCTGTAATCCCAACACTTTGGAAGGCGCCAAGGTGGAATGATCACTTGAGGTCAGGAGTTGGAGAACAGCCTGAGGAACACAGTGAGACCTGGTCTCTACAAAAATAAAATGAAATTGCAGTCTGATAAATATTAAGATAAGTAACAATAGTCTCCCAAGTAAGTCACTCACAAGGCGTTTAGATTCCCTATAGAAACTAAAAGGGAGCATCTTAACATACCTTCCTGCAATGTTTCCAGAAGCTTCCACCAGACGGAAAATGCCTCTATTACTACACAGATCTCAGATAAAGGGGAGCTGGGGACTGAACTCTGACCACCATTCTTTGCCACGAGCCAGACTAGTGTATAACCTCCATATATTTATTGGTTTACGATTTTGCTATCCTGAAATGTAACCCCATCTTTAAAAACTCTTGCTTGTAAGCCAGCATGGAGTTCGGGTCTTAAGCGCTAGCTGCCTGTTCTACTTGCTAGGCACCAAGCACTAAATGTGCTTTTTCCTGCTGCAAATCTCAGCATCAGTGCCTGGCTCTACTGCAGTGGGCAAGCGGGCCTCAGCTCAGTTTAGTAACAGGATCACCCTGACTCCTCTACAAGGGCTTCCCCTGACCTGGAACTGCAATGCCTCTGAGCCCGTCCCCGCACTGAGGCCGACGCCAAGCCAGGAGTCCAGGCCTCCTCTGGGCCACAGCTGTGGTTGGGCTGGCAGCTCTGAATCTTCACGATGTCATCTGGGATGCTCCCCGACCTTTCCCTCTGTCTCCCCAACTCCGGAAGGACAGGCAGGGTGAGGTTTCCTCTAGTCTCAGTACTTGAGCTTCTAAGCAAGGCCCAGTCCCTGCCAACAGCCTTCACTGATCCTGGCCCAGAGGAAGGCCAGGCTGTGCAGATGCAGAGCCTCCCCTGATCCATCCCTTCCAGCCCTGGCCTCTGGTGGAATAGAGCCTAGGCCAGGAGAGAGGGGAGCCCAAGTGCAGCCCTAACCCACAGCAGCCTCTGCCACAAGATGGCACTCATAGAATCCACCTCACCCAGTGTCCAGGCCTGCGGTCCCTTCCTCCCCAGTCACTCCTGCTCCACCCACTGCTGGTATCAAACCTTTCTTTCTAGGCCTAAGTTTTCACATGTAAAATCAGAGAGCAGCTGGGCGTAGTGGCACATGCCTGTAAAACCAACAACTCATAAGGCTGAGATGGAAGGATTGCTTAAGTCTAGGAATTCAAGATCAGCCTAAGCAACATAGTAAGAGCCCACCTCCAAAAAAACAAAAGAAAAAGAAACAAAAAATGAAAAGAAAAAAAAATCATCAAGTTGCTCCTACCTTGCATATGCCTCGGTTGTGAAACAACACAGCCGAGAAACTTCTTTGCAAAGCACAAGGGCTAGAGCCCCTTCTCTCTGCTATTGATCTCTGCTCCCTCTCCAAGCAGCCTTCAGGGTGAAAAGGCTTGGACAGCATAGGGGAAGGCTGTCGCAGCCGCAAGCCACAGCTTGCTTGCAAGGCTGAAGACAGCACAGCTCTCTAGCTGGGCACTTCCCTCCACACCCAGGAGTCAGTCAGCCAGCTGCTCTCTGACCTCCTCACCACGGGGGTCTCTGGGCCAGCGCCTCACACATGTACACACACAACCCCTCTCTGACTCCAGCCTGTCTCACACCCCTGCTGCGCTCCCTCGGCACAATAGCCCTCTTATATTCCCTGCCCCACCAGGTCCCAGACCTGCTCCCAGGCCTGCCTGTTTTCCCAGCCTCTGGCACGTTCCCCCCACCCAACCACAGAACTCAACAGTGAGCCGAGTCCCTGGCCACTCCCCGCCCCTTTAACCCTCCTCCTCCTCCTCTCCCATTGACCTCCTCTCCCCGACCCCTCCAAAGAGCTGCAGTCCAGCCCCGGGTCCCCTCACCACCCATCCAGTGGGCCAGGGTGGATTCATAAGCAGACCCAGGTCTTGGCCAGCTCTTCTTGCAGACCTGGACCCCTCAGGTAAAAGGAAAATGTTATAGTTGTTTTATGTTTTAAGAGAAGGCCAAGGGTGAGGCTTTGCCTGAAGGAGTGAATGTTTCTTGAGTGGATTGTTAGGTACTCGTGCAAGGGCTATGCTGTAGGGCCCTCCAGGTGCTCCCCATAAAGGCAGTATATATATGACATCGGTCCTAGAAGAGCCAACAGCCTTGGAGTTTTTTCTCACTGTAGAAAATAGTAGTCCTGTCTTCCACGTGGGTGAGTTCAGAAGAGGCCTGACAGCCACCCTCTCCAATGACCCCACACTTATTACAGCGGCTGGCTGGCAGAAAGCTGGCAGGACTGGTACCCTTCAGTGTGCATCCTGCCCAGGAGTCAGGCAGCCTACAGCTGTGTTCTCACAGCCATACCTGGAGGAGGAAACACCCTTAAGCTCCTCCCCTTCTGTTCTGGACTCAGTGGGAATGGGTGGGACCTGAGAGTGTGCATTTCTCTAAGTTCCCAGGTGAGGCTGACACTGCTGGCCACTTTCGTGGGTAGAGATGCTGCCCCCAGGCTCAGCCAGAAGCAGTCTTGGAGGCAGGGGAAAAGGAGATTGCTGACCTTGTAAGATAGAGGTTGATACTGAAACTCAAGCCAAAGTGACAGCCTCTTTCAAGGTCTGCATGCAATGAGTCAAAGGTTCTGAGCCTCCCACTAGTAAATTTGGGACTCTACTACTGGATCTTATGATCTTGTTTTAACCACATTTTTTGATTCCCCTCTTGTCAAGCCAGGCGCCTTCCGTATCTTACCTCTACTCCTTACTCCTGCAATGCAAGATCTCTCTGAAGCTTGCAGAGGTGGGATCTGAACCAAGACCTAATTTTAAAGCCTAGTCTCCTAAACTTTCTGTGATTCTGCCTTAAGAAATGAGGCATGGCTCAGGCAATTAGAATGATGAAGGGAGGAAAGGAAATAGACCTTTTTAGACAGCTGACATGTCCGGGTCTGCCACAGAAGTAGGGACATACAGCTCTTCCTGGTGAGTCTCCATCTAAAGCTGTCCATCTCAAACTCTTGAGAGCCAGTTCCTTTCCTCCTGGGCCCTGACCCCTGGATTGCTGGGCCTTCCCTATCCTGTACACTGCTGTATTCCCACCAATAAGCATCGTTCTTGGCACACTGAAGGTACCAGAGGTGTTGCATGAATCAACACATTCCCATGCCTGAATGCTCTGAGACTCAGCCCACTGCCAGGATTCTCCCATCTATACCCTAGTTGGTCAGGTCCTGGTGTGAAGCTGGAGAACTAGAGTCAAATCAAGAAAGCTGGGAAATTTACTTCTTAAAACTTATTTTAATTTCCTTCTTCCCTCCCTTACCCCATTGGGAAAAGGCTAAAACAATCTGGCTGGGTTTAATTACAAATTAAAACATACTGTCATTGTGTAAAGTAAATCAACATTGTGGCAACAAGGGACTATTCTTGGAAAAAGTAAAACCCATATTAACAAAATATGTCATGGAAGCACCCCACTTAGTGATTTCACTGGCTGCTCACAGGACTAGGAAAGGTCAACGTTCTGCATGTTCTCTGGGGCTTGTCCATGCAACAGGAAGAGGTCTTGCCCAGACTCAGCCAAGACTAGTTAGCTCCAAACAGACCCTAGACCAAAAGCAAGGGAAGAGGACATCCTTTCAGTAGTATAAGGGTAGAAAGGGTAGATTGACAGATAAAATCTTGCAGCTTCATTTAAAAGCCCACAGGGAAAAAGAAAGCAGGAAGTTACTGGGAAGGCTTAAAGAAAGATGCACGATTTTTTTCAACATTAAAAACATGTTAAGGCTGGGTGTGGTGGCTCACAGCTGTAATCACAGCACTTTGGGAGGCCGAGACAGGCAGATCACCTGAGGTTGGGAGTTCAAGACTAGCCTGACCAACATGTGGAAACCCCGTCTCTACTAAAAATACAAAATTAGCTGGGCATGGTTGCACATGCCTGTAATCCCAGCTACTTGGGAGGCGGAGAATCTCCTGAACCTGGGAGGTGGAGGTTGTGGTGAGCTGAGATTGTGCCACTGCACTCCAGCCTGGGCAACAAGAGCAAATCTTCATCTCAAACAAAAAGTTGATAAATTAAAAAATGAATAGAAATCAACTGCACCATCATTGAAGAGGAAGAAAAAAGAAACAGAACTTCATGGTTTTCAGTGAGTTTGAATGGTCTTGGCTTCATTCATGTCTTCATTATGCAGACACCATCCTTTCAGCACTGTGCTCAACCTGTGAGACCCTTTGCTTAGCAGCTTGAAGTTTTTTTTTTTTAAAGGTACTATACACACATACATAAATGCACACGTGTTTATATGCGCAAGTGTATATACATATAAGTTGTAATAAAGTAGTTTTAGAAAGCTGGGAGCATCAAGGCATCTGGGGCTGACTCCTGGCATTCAGAATTCCACAGGACGATACCTACCCGTGAACTTCTCTCTAATTTGAAACACTCCCATCTTTCCTTAAGATTGCCTGATACTGAGGAGACTGAGGCAGGTCCACAAAACAAACGAAGGTCCTGGAAAATGTGTCACCAGTGACACTGTTCACATGTGAAAGGAACACTAGTGTCCTGAGTTCTTTGAGAGCTCTCTACCCTTTCTGACTCCCCCTCCCTGTGCAGAGAACTCGCAGGCCAGAATACTAACTACATCTTTAAATATTTCTGGCTGAGCCCTCTTGCCACATATGTCAGTAACATTCCAAGCTGGCGACCACATGTTCAGGCTCTGGCTCCCTCCCTCTCTCTCTACTGAGGACTGCTCTGCTGTTTCAAGGGCACGGTGGGGCCACCCGTCTCCCATTTCAGCTCCATCTTCAGTGGATCATACATCTCAGAACAAACCAAATTAAAAAAGAAAATTGGTGCCAAAAGAATGTTCATATTTGAAATACCTATTTCTTTCTCTTTTTTTGAGACAGAGTCTTGCTCTGTCACCCAGGCTGGAATGCAGTGGAATCATCTCAGCTCACTGCAACCTTTGCCTCCTGGGTTCCAGCAATTCTCTTGCCTCAGCCTCCTGGGTAGCTGGGACTACAGGCGCCTGCCAACACGCCTGGCGAATTTTTGTATCATTAGCAGAGATGGGGTTTCCCCATGTTGGCCAGGCTGGTCTTGAACTCCTGACTTTATGATCCAACTGCTTCGACCTCCCACAGTGCTGGGATTACAGGTGTGAGCCACTGTGCCCGCCCTGAAATACCTCTCTTGGGATTGAAATATTTCTCTTGAGATAAAATTCCACTTGATGAATCTTTTAAAGTGAGCTAGACAAAGTGTGTGTGTACATGCACACACAGACACACACACACCACCACACACCCACAAAATTCAGAGGCCTGAGAGGGGAAGGTTGTTTGCTGCCAAAAGATCTAACAGAAGAAAGCTTATGTGCTGATCAAGTTTTAATAACGTGGTTAACAAGAAATGTACACCATTTAGCAAGCACACAAAGACTGTGGGTAGGAACTACTGATCCCTGGAGTGTCTGGCTCCCAAGCCCATTTTCTGCCTACCTTTGGCATAGCTTCATAGTTACTACATTCAGAGAATCCAAGAGGACTGCATGGACAGATGAACCTTTATTTAAAAAAATAGCACTTCAAATAAATTAAAAGGGACAACCGTCAAGTGTTCAAATTGTGAAGAAATAGTTGAAAACCTAGAGAGACTCCAAGCTGCAGTCTTCTAACCTCATTCTTTGTCCAATGGCAAAAACCCACACATCTCAGTACTCCCACTCAATTTTTTCCCTACTGAGAAGAGGGAAGCAATTGCAAACAGGAGACCGGACGGAGGAGAAAGCTGCATCTGATTGGAATGAATGTTGTCACGTACTTGCTAATACGGGTTTCACTTTATGCCCAAATGTATTCTTTTAAAAATAAAAAAGGGGAGAGGGAAGCTGCGTGTTTTTAAAAATTGAAATTATTTAGGGATAAAACACTAACTCTAGTGCCTTTAACGGGCAATAGCAACTTTTTTCCTCCGAAGTCAAACACCATCCCCAGCTGAGCCTTTGTGCTACAAGCTTTTCAGGAGATGTTACCTAAACTTTATTAAAAGAAAAGAACAAGTTTAAATATAGACACTGGACTAGCCCAGTCTGTATTTTCAAGTCCACATTCTTCATCTGAAGCATTGCATCAGGGACCCCCCTGAGTCTGCATGTTTTCAAGTTCACAGTACATGGAACCAGTTTTTCTTTTTAATTTTTCCTCACTCAGAGCAGCCACACACAGTGGCCGTTGACGCGGGAACCTTGAGCGGGGCCTTTCCCTATGAGGCCTGGCCGGAGCTGCCCAAGGTTTCTCTTCAATGAGAATCGATGCTGTCATGCTCTATGGATGGGAAAAAAGCAAGAAAATAAAAGCACCTGGTACAGGTTTCATCAGATCCATTCGGATTCGCTATGTTCCAAACCTGCTGCTGAATGCCATTTGTCCACTTTGTGTGTGTTGAACAGTTTGTGGCCTTGGAGTCGGTCTCAATTCGAAGAACTGTTATTGGACGCCCCAGAGGTTGATGCAATAGCAGCTCCAGCAGGGCTACTCGTAGAGACTGACTTTCGGATGTGAGGCAGCAAATAGGGGTCACAGGCCAGCTGCTGGACATCAATGCGGTCCTCCTTTCGGTAGGCCAAGCATCGTCGAATAAATGCCTGCAAAGGAGAGTTTCTTGAAGACTGAGGCATACAGTTTTGGCACCCCCAGAGGGAAGCCTGAGGCTCACTATTGGCTGCCAGGGCCCAGAGCAAGAAACCCCTAAAGAGAAGGGGCTTAAGGCCTTCCCCAGAAATCACCAGGAAGACCCAAAGAAGAAAGAGCAGCAGCACCTCTCTGCTGCCACCAGCTGCTTCCCAGAGAGAAAGGGCTGAGCCATTACTGAAGGGAGGAAATAGGAAGCATGACCTCTAAATACTGCCTGCAAAGCACTAAGACCAACAGATAAAAAGAAAGAAGAGACCGATTCTGTCTTTACTAGTTTGGATGGGAACGGTCTAACTTTCCTGGTCCTCAATCTATAAACCATAGTCTTATGTGAACTTCCTGAGGAAGTGAAAATTCTAACAGCAAACTATTACCATATGCAGTGTCAGGAGACACACAATGACTAACACTATGAAGTGTCACAGGTTATAAAATGATCTCCCTAAGGTTTTCAGGTAGTCAAGAAAAACCTGAAAAGGACTTGCAATTGCACTAACACTGTAGACCCAAAAACGCAGTGAGAGTGGGGTTTATAAGGAATTCTAGTTGACTACCAAAATGGAGGCTATGCAGTTTCAGTTTCTGTAAGTTAGCATACAGACCCTTATATAGATGATCTGTCTTTTCCTGCTTGCTTTCTTCCTATTTTTTAGTAGTTCTACTTAGTTTCAATATAACTATTTTAAATAAATTAATTTTTAAAAATCTAAAACATCATTACAGAAAGTCCATATTTTACATTAGAGTGATAAGGATGTGATGTATTGGTACAGACAGGTTCATCAGCTCTCACAAATGTACTGCTCTGGCAAGAGATGTTGACGGGGAGGCTGTGCATGGGTGCAGCAGGCAGTATAAGGGAACTCTATACTTTCAATTTGCTGAGAGCCTAAAACTGCTCTAAAAAGCAGAGTTTATTTGAAACAAAATCTAGAAAATGAATCAAGCTGTTGATTTTCTGGTTTTCCCCCCAAGTTTGATAAACAAAATAATAATACAATGCCAATCCTGGTTTCTCAAAATCAAACTTATAGGTACTGCCTTGGTTAAAGCATTTGAAAGATAAAAACAAATACAGGCCCAGTGCCATGGCTCATGCCTGTAATCCCAGCACTTTGGGAGGCCGAAGTGGGCAGATCACTTAGGTCAAGAGTTCAAGACCAGCCTGGCCAACATGGTGAAACCCCATGTCTTAAAAAAAAAAAAACAAATTCAAAGAAATGAACCTAACAATCCCTGGCATTTAAAAAAGAGCCTTTCTAGGTGAACGACATGAAATTGGAGTTAAACAGGCTGTCTTAGGTTAAATACTGGTCAAACTTTTTTTACTGAACTTTTTTTAGAGACAAAGTCTCGTTCTTCACCCAGGCTGGAATGTACTGACACTATCATTGCTTACTGCAGCCTCAAACTCCTGGGATCAAGTGATCCTCTACCTTAGCTTCCCAAGTAGCTAGGATGAAAAGGTGTGCCTCACCACATCCAGCTACTTTTAAACTTTTTTGTAGAGATATTTCCCAAGCTGGTCTCAAACCTGTGGCCTTAAGCAATTCTGCCACCTTATCTTCCCATAGTGCTAGGATTACAAGTGTGAGCCATGGCACTCAGCAAAGTAAACTTCATTTACCTTGAATTTTCTCTGAGGCTGCCAGTGTCAGCTCTTAAAACAGCAATCAGCTCACAGTTGCCCTGATTAACCTGCAACTGCTTTCCCTCACACTTACCCTCACCATCCTGCCTCTCTTATCATCTTCCCCTTTGCTCTATGGACCTGCTAAGCTCATTCTCGCATCTGAGCTTCTCTGCTAAAATGCTTTCCCTGGCAGTATCTTGAATAGTATGAAGGCTCCCACCTTCATCTTTGAGGCCTTCCCTAACCATGCCATCAGAAGAGAGGTTCCCCCTACTCTGATTTATTTCTTCATAATATTTGTCACCATCTGAAATATATCCACATTTTGTTTTATTGTTTTTCTCATAAATGGAATATAAATTCCTTAAGGGCAGGGAACTGGTCTGCGTGGTTCATGCTACATGTTCGGTTCCATCTCCACTACTTGAAATAGTGTCTAGTGTTTCATAGGCATTCAATAAATATTTGTTGTGGGGGGAGAGGAAGATAAGAGGGTAGGAGTTGGAGAAATACAGGAACACTGGAGACAATTCATGAAAACATTTGGAGATACTTTTGTATTCTTCATAGCAAGTCCATCTAACTGTCTCTAAAGTTTTGAAACATTTGTTCACCTATTTATTGAATAAACATAAAAATTTAACAAAAGTCACATACAGAAATAGTTTTGAAAGGAGAATTAAACATCTGTCAGACAACTTCTTTAAGTCCCCCAGTGTTGACTCTGGGTAGCAGCTGTGGTATGGGTGGTGAGAGCAGCTAGCTAGAGTAGAGAATCTGCCAAGATTCTCCACCAAGTCCTCTTAAAACTCACAACCACCCCCACACCTGCTTTTTTTGAGACAGGGTCTCACTGTGATGCCAAGGCTGGAGTGCAGTGGTGTGATCATGGCACATTACAGGTGCATACCACTGCACTAGCTACAAACACCTTTTAAGGAAGATGTTTTTGTCTTTGTTTTTAGGGATAAGGAAAAGCAGCTTAAAAGGTTTAAGTAAACTTGCCTAAAGTTTCACATCTACTTCTGAGTGCAGAGCTGACACCAAAATTAGGTCAACCAAGCTTCAAAGCTGAGACTCTCTCCAGCTCTCCCAGGACAGTTAGGAAATCAGTGTCTGCCTTAGGGATGTGTCATGGGACTTCTCCTTTGCAGATCTGATTTCTTGGTTATGCAGTACTTAAACTGTCTAACCACTGGGACAGGGAGCAATCAGTCAGGAATTATAAACAACTGCTAAAGATGTTAATTCTTACTCTGTGGCATGGCAGCTAAACCACTTGGAAAAGAGGCTCTTTCCTAACCTATGTCACACAGGTACACTGTGAGGGAGGAGCAGATCAAACACTGAAAAAAATAAATTAGACTTGTAATTGGCTGGGCACAGTGGCTCCTAGCACTTTGGAGGCCAAGGTAGGTGGATGGCTTGAGCCCAGGAGTTCAAGATCAGCCTGGGCAACATGACAAAACCCCTTCTCTACAAAAAATTAGCCAGGCGTGGTAGTGCATGCCTGTAGTCCCACTTCTCAGGAGGTTCAGGTGGAAGGATCCGCTGAGCATGGGGAGGTTGAGGCTGTGGTGAGCCGGGATAGTGCCACTGTACTCCAGACTGGGTGAGATGCTATCTCAAAACAAGTGTTTGCCCCACTGAGATTTTTATGCCTTCACCAACTGCAACAGAATTTACTGCTTACCATTTGCTTGACATTTAACCCTATAATGTTGATATAGTTTGGCTATGTTCCCACCCAAATCTCATCTTAAATTGTTGCAACCACCCCCATGATTCAGTTACCTCCTACCAGGACGCTCCCATGACACAGGAACGTCCTAGTAGGAGGTAACTGAATCATGGGGGTGGTTACCTCCACGATGTTCTCATGATAGTCAGTGAGTTCTCACAAGACCTGCTGGTTTTGTAAAGGGCTTTGCCCTCTTTGCTGAGCATTTCTCCTTCCTGCCACCGTGTGAAGAAGGATGTATTTGCCTTCCCTTCCACCATGATTGTAAGTTTCCTAAGGTCTCCCCAGCCATGCTGAACCGAGAGTCAATTAAACCTCTTTCCTTTATAAATTACCCAGTCATGAGTTTGTCTTTATTAGCAGCATGAGAACAGACTAATACAAATGCCTCAGTACTCATATAATTTCTCCTATGGTGGGCATTAGCTCCCCAAATTAATCACAATCCCCAAATACAGATGAAGCTGGGTATTCATGACATCCACACACCTGCTCTCTTTCAACTGGAGTTTGCTCTCCCTCCCTTTCTGACTCTAGAGAGCCTTTCTGGATTAAAACACACCTATCAACATTCCCTCTACAAGAACTGGGGATGGAGTGGTCGGGGTATAAGCAATATTCTGTTAAGTGTTCTTAGAAATATTAATTCATGCCTATCCTAATGTTTTTAATAACTCCTGAATTTCACGCTGAATAATATATTCACTATTACCCATATAAATAATACAGAAAGCAAAGCAGTCGTTTCTGTTGGCCAATGGGTCAGAACTTACCTTTGCTTCAGGTGTTACTACTGGCTTTGGTGGGAACTGCACTTCAGTAGCTTTAAGAATAGTATTCTCTTGTAGGATGTCTTGCTGAGACTGGTTATGGCCAAAAGGCTGTCATATAAAAACAAACAAAAAAGGTGGGCCTCTGATGAAAATTAAAGAGAAAACAATTCAATACCACAGGCAAGGAAAAGGAGAATACATCTTCTAATTTGAATTGCTGCAAGGAATTCTGGAGACAATCCCCTCTAGTGCTCTCACTTTATGGATAAGGCGGGTGAGAGCTCAGAGCATAAGTACTTGCTCACAGTTCAGCGTCCAGGTCAAGGCAGAGCAGGGACCAGAAGCAGCATCTCCTATATCCTAATGCTCTGCTAAGTTTTGCTCACAGCAAAGAAAAGGAAGATCCAGAGCAGGACCCTGCAACCTCATCTACTCTGAGGGATGCATGCCAGTGGGCCTAAGCAATATACACCTGTGCCTCAGGCCAACTCAAGAAACAGAGAAAAAGAGAAGGAAAGGAAGTGAAAACAGAGGAGTAAGGAGAGAGCAGGAACAAGAAAGAGTTGGGATTACGTAATGGCTTCATCTATGCTAAGCTGCCATTTTCTAATAAACTCTTAAAAATAAGTTCAACTCAAGTTTCTCTATACTGGTTCTACTGAGATCTCTCTCAAATAGTTATTTCTAGATAATTTCTGCCACTGTTATCAGTAGCAATTCAACATTGTCAGAGAATGTAAATAATAAAGCCCACTACTTCTCAATAGTTTCCCTGTTTTAGAGGTAAGATGAAAAAAAAAAAGGTCAAGGAGAAGTTAAAGAGGAAGCTATAATCTGAATTAAGAACTGGTCTTGGGAACGTAATAAAAATATTAAGAATTCAAAAGAAAACTCTTATCTGGCTTATACCCACAGCCTACTGAGAAACACTGAAACATACAAACACACAAAAACAGCAACAGGAACATAAATACACAAGTGGATCCTAATTGATACATTTATAAGGCGTGTTCACAAGGAAAAACAAATATGACAATTCATTAGGTATAGTTTACCACTTGTTGAAACGATATGTCACTTTGATAGGTGGTAACAATGAATTCGTCCTGACACCATCTCCCCAGTATAGAAATATAAAGCACACTTTCATTCATAATAGGCTCAACTACTGAGATGGCTGGAGATAAAGATTCTGGGGATCTTTTTGATTCTTGGGACCCCCCCCCAGGTTCTTGGGAAGACTGTACACTTTAATAAATAAACAATTTTATGTAAATCTTTATACATACTATTAGAATAAACACATGTTCTAGATTTAATTGAGAACAGTAAAAGTACATGTTTTTAATAGCCCAGCAGAACTCACTAGGTGTCCTAAGGCTGCATTTCTGCTTACGCTTAAAGCTTGTATTATTAAGTGTGTATTTTCTTTAAACCACTACTTTCAGAATTCTACTTTGTATAACACAATAATTAACTCCAAGAGACTAATCCATATCAAGGCACTATGTATGTGTGCCACCCAAGAAAGAAATTAAGCTTCTCTGTCAATCAACCTTCTAACTTACCTTCCTTCCATAAAGACACTGATAGAAGATCACACCCACCGACCACACATCAACTTTATTTGAGATCTTTGGTGGTTCTTTCCCAACCACAAAACACTCTGGTGGTAAATACCTGGGACAGAGAAGTAATAAAAATTCTTAGAATAACAATTATATAAATCTAAGATGTACAAAAAGACAAAATATCTTGTTGAAAATAGAAATATCTAATTTTTTATTTTTATTTTTTGAGACAGTGTCTCTCTCTGTCACCCAGGCTGAGTATAGTGGCGTGATCATGGCTCACTACAGCCTCAACCTCCCAAGCTCAGGTGGTTCCCCCACCTCAGCCTCCCAGTAGCTGGGATTAAAGGGAGGCACCACCATGCCTGGCTACTTAAAAAAAAACAATTTTTTTTTGTAGAGGTGGGATCTCACTGTGTTGCCCAGGCTGGTCTCAAATTCCTGGACTCAGGTAATCCTCCCACCTCTACCTCCTAAAGTGCTGGGATTATAGATATGATCCACTACACCTGGCCAAAATATGTGAATTTTAACAGTCAACTTAGACTTATATGAAGAGTCAATGAAAAGATACTCTAGGTGGGGTTTGGTGGCTCATACTCATAATCCCAGCACTTTGGGAGGACAGGACCAGCAGATTGCTTGACCTCAAGAGTTCAAGACAAGCCTGGGGAATATGGCAAAATCCCATCTCTACTAAAAATACAAAAATTAGCTGGGCCTGGTAGCATGCCCCTGTAGTCCCAGCCACTTGGGAAGCTGAGGTGGGGGGATCACCTGAGCCTGGGGGAGGCTGATTGCAGTGAGTCAAGATCATGCCACTGCACTCCAACGACAGAGTAAGAACCCATCTGAAAATAAGAAAAGACACTCTAATGTTAGGGAGGCAGTAACGTCCCTTAAGGTATCAAAATACACTTCTCAATTTCCTGAGAGTGGTAACTATTCTCACTAGTTCCACTTCACTCACTCTCAGTCTCTTTCCCCAGAGTTGTACCTAATATAGTGTCATTCAACAAGTTTTAAAAAGGGAGTGGGGGAGACACAAAAGAAGTGCATTCCCTTTTAGGATAGCTTCATCAACAAACATTAAATATAACTAGAAATGGTATGGGTTGCATGCTGCCAAAAGGAGATGTGTCTAAAATAAGTAAATATTTTAAAAGTTCAAATGAATTCAGGACGCAGCATAGATCTCTGAGGGGAGAGGTTATCCTACCTTTTTACAGTAGCCTCTTAAGATTCCAATACATGATCAAGGGTGACAATAAAGTCCAAATTTTCAGAAGTTACTTCTTTTCAAGATGGGGTCTCACTATGTTGTCCAGGTTGCTCTGGAATTCCTGGTCTGAAGGGAATCCTCCCACCTTGGCTTCCGAAGTGGGTGGAATTTATGGGTGCACCACCCACCACACCTGGGTCAGAAGGTATTTTATATTTCCTACTTTAAGTGTGATCAGGGGCTTACTGGAAGACTAACAAACAGTGTAGCAAAGGCCAATCTAGTTGTTAGAACAACTCATTCTTCATCTAAATTCCTTCCCTCTCCACCACTGGTCTCTAAAAAAACTATTTAATATGTGATAGCCAACCACACCAAATTGTATGGTATGGAAGGTAAGTACTTCTTGTATTTAGGAAACCAAATAAATACAGCTGGAGGCTTAGCCACATCATGGCTGGAAGGCAGAATTCTGAAGATTGCAGATTGATTTCTGCAGATTTCATGCTAGCAAAATCAACTCTGTGGGAAATTCTTTATTTTAGAACCTATGCTCATCCTGAAATACAACTTAACAGCTTGAAGGGGACCACATGAATTCAGAGGCAGAAAATATTCCTTCTCTGATCCATCTCTATCAAACTTAGTTTCAGATTGATAGCCTTTCTTTCATTTCTTTTAAAAAGAATTATAATTTCATATTTTTGTTTCTTATTTATTATTAAGATACTTTTTCTTGAGACAGAGTCTCACTCTGTCACCCAAGCTGCAGTGCAGTGGTGCAACCTCGGCTTGCTGCAACCTCCACCTCCCAGGTTCAAGCGATTCTCCTGCCTCAGCCTCCTGAGTAGCTGGGACTACAGGCACCTGCCACCAAACCTAGCTAATTTTTGTATTTTTTGGTAGAGATGGGGTTTCACTATGTTGGCTGGGCTGGTCTCAAACTCCTGGATTCAAGTGATATGCCCGCCTCAGCCTCTCAAAGTGCTGGAATTAAGTGAGCCACCGCACCCAGCCTAAGAGACATTTTTGGATGATTAAGACCTTAAACTATCTTATTATTTTACAATAAAAACTTTTAGTTAAAGCACCCATTGAGAAATGAAATACCGGACTAAGAGGAAAAAAGGCAAAGAAATAAAGGAAAAAGAATTTAAAAAAAGAAGAACTCTTCCAAGAGCTAGTAAAACCTCCCTGAACCCTCATTCTCATAGTTCTTGATTTTTAATATACATAACTTAAATATTATCTCAAATAAATAACAAATATAACCTTAACTCTAAAATGACCATTTAAATGTATTTATAACTTTTTTTATGGCAGTGGCAGGGAAGAACAGGAGCTGCTGAACTCATCCAAATGCAGAAAAATAAGTTAGCAAGATTTTTTAGAATATAAAAAGCCCTGCCACTTGATAACACGTCTGGCAAATCGCTTTCTAGGTCTCAGTTTCTCCATCTGTAAGTGTATGAAATTAATTCTTCATCAAATAATACTGAAAGTAACAAGCATTCTAACTTCCTATCAAGGATTTTGGGAGGAGAGTAAAAGACTGCTCTATAATACTAAACTGTGTTAAAAAATATATAGTTGCATATTCCGTCACAATCCAAATCCCCATACAAAAAAAACCAAATTATTTTCAAGGCATAGTCTATGGGTCACTTTTTTAAAAGAAGTATTCTACGTAGAAGAGTTCTGTAACCACGAAATACTGAAAATAATTACTTATAATTTGTTATACCCTCTGGGATTATTTTTATCTGACATACTGAGGATGGTGATTATGACAATGTTTCTACCAATCTGAAGACTCTTCAAACCTTCATAGAAATCTTTAACACTTAATTTTCTCAGAAGCCGCATCTTACCTTAAATTATTAAAAATCTCAACTATGAGCTAATGTAGAAAGAACAGTAAAATGATCCCCTAAGATAAGCACCATCCAACTTCAAGAATTATCAACATGTCGCCAATCTCCACCACTTCTTCCAACAGATTACTTTGAAGCAAATCCCTAGCATCACGTAATTTTAATTTAAATTCTAATCACTGACTTTCTGTAGGTAAAAAACTACAGCAGTAACTAATTTAAATGCGAAAAAGCCTTAAAAAAAAAAAGATCAAACACAAAGCTCAAATCCAAATTCCAGTGAATTTATATAGCAGAGGTATAGACCTGTTTCCAGAATTTTCAGCAGTAGTTATTTTTATATCACTTAGTGACAGAAACACTAGCCCACAATAACCACCATAGTGAATAAACACTGTAAATGTAGCTTCTATTTTAAATCTATAATTTCAAAGTTTTAATTTAGGGACTTTTTACTATAGGTGCCATCTTTACAAGCAGTAAGGAGCAACAGAAAGCAGGGCATTGTGTCCATGGTGTTACTGGCAGGCTTCACAATGAGCAGAGCTGATGCTGTGTGTTGTCAATGCCATGCCCTTTCCTGTCTGCTTCCTCATCTACCTCTCATTCTCAGACAGTCAGTATTCTCTGCTAAGGCCCAGGACCCTCCAGTCCTAAAGATAAGTGATTTAACCACCTTCCCTGGGGTACAAATAATATGTGTTGCCCCTACTTTGGGCACATAGAGCCCTCTCTTGCAACTCCTGAAGCAAACCCTTAATCCCATTAAGCCATGAAGAGAGACTTGTATTTGGACTTAAAAAAACAAAACAAAACTGGTGGCCTTTCTTTATATACACCAATATGTGGCTTTCTGTGACCACCTCAAAATGGAAAAGGAAGCTTTGTTAACACACTTTTACAACCATAGAGTTACAGGCCTGAGTTTCAGGTATCTTTTATGGTTCAAATGGTCAAAGGTAATGTAGGCAGAAATAGAAGCATAAAACTGTCAGGTAGAGCTAGCTTGGGTGGGGAGGCTAGAGGAAGATATATGACAAGAGATGAGAAGAAACGTGCCTCAAAAACTTTTAGAACATGGCTAACAGACATGGATAAACTTCTGGTAAATCTTTCATAGATTTCATATGCGCTACAGTCACGTTTCATCCTGATCTTCACGACTCCCTACGGTCCAATATCCTCAGGCAACTCTTGAAGCAAATCCCTTATCCCCTCAACCCATGAAGAGGGACCTGTATTGGGACAAGAACTGTCTAGAAATAAAGATTTTGGGGCCATTCTTTATATACACCACATGAGCAACCTTGTTCTCTACTAACTTGCAAGGCCAACTCTGGAGAAAACACACATCTCAAATACCTGGCCCATATAAGCTCTCCTTCTTCTTAAGCGTTTTCAAGAAAGAAAAGAAAAATAAAGACAAATTAATGTAAATATGAAGAGTCAAAATACTGAAAAGATAGTAACAATTTGGGGAGAAAGTCTGCTTTGGTTTATGGCATTTTGCCTAGCAGACAGCATACAGCAATTAATTCTTTATCAGCACTTCAGTATAGCAGAGCCACATCTCCATAGCCAACCTGGCAGAGCTCCTGGATACCTACCAATAAGTACCAGCACCTTGTGATGTTAGCTCCATGCCATCCACTGAATTGTAGCTATCATCATCCATGATCTTCGAAAGACCAAAATCTGTAATTTTTATCTCTCCACACGCTGTACCATTTACTAAAAGAATATTACCTAAAAAATAAAAATCTTCATGAATAAGCAGAAACTTACTGATTAAGAGAAAAACCCAAGTAATAACCCAAAGAAAAACCCAAAGATAAGAAGAGGACAACTGAAATTAAACTCTTGCGAAAGCAAACATCCAAATCTTGGGAATCAAGCAATCTGAACTCTGGGATACTCAGGGAGAGTCCTCAGCATCTGCTGAAACTTCGATTTTCCAAGAATCACCTGCTTAATGTGCCAAAACCACCACTATGATGAGCTCTGGAAATAAAAATAACTGGCCAAAGTAAAACATACTTGTTCACTTGGCCAAAAACGATGGGAAACTTTCATCTGAACAGTGGGGGAGGAATCAAAGACGACATATAAGGGAACCAAACCTGTCACCACAGCGCCACCTACAGATCCTATGGCAGGAAAGTGCTGAATTCAGTTACGGAAAATTCATTCACAAAATAGCCATCTTTTAAAAATTTGCTTTATTATAATTAATGTTTTAGTCATCTGAACTATATTAGAACATTAGAGAATAGTCAATAATGAGACTTAATATATACCTACCAGAAGAGAAAAGCAAAGTTTACAATTTTGCAACACCAGAAGGTAAAGGGGGACCATCTTCCTAATGCCCAAGCTAAGCTGTTAGAGTTGTCTATTGAACATATGCAGATTTCTAAAACATAGCTGAAGATAACAATAAAAAATAGAGGTAAGGACTCTAGCTGTCTTGTACTCTTTGCTGATGACTACCAAAGCTGGATAATAACCATACAAAAAGATGAAAAATTTTGCTTGAAATTTATTGAGATGGGAGGCATGTAAGTAAAATAAGTTGTTAATTTGGGGGCTCTTACCAAAGAGACCTGAAGCAGAGGAACTGCTATGTAGTATGAGTAATGGGAAAGAAACAAAACTGAACTTGCTAGAACAGTTCTTTCTTAATGAGACATCATGAACTGCCCTGGCTTCAAAGATAAAGGTATTGTTTCTCCAGAGTATTTAATCCAGCACACCCTCCTAAACCCAGTGTTGCTGGGCCAGGACTCTTCTTCCCACACCTACCCAAGCAATCAAAAGTCAGATGTTATTAGCCCTTCTTGGCTGCTGTGAAATTCTCTAACTTTATCAAATTAAAAGTCACTTATAAGACCAAAGAAAAGCCAGTAATACTGTCTCCTAAAAGTTAGACATACCTGGTTTGAGGTCATAGTGTATGATGGGAGGTTTTATTTCATTTAAGTACTTTAAAGCATTCACAATCTGCATGATAATGGACCGGGCCTCTTTCTCCGACATTAATTTGTGCTGTTTCAGGTAGAAGTCCAGATCGTTTCCCTCACAGTATTCTAATACTGTACAAAACCTAAAGACAAATAAACCAACATTTAACCATGGAATAAGAGCAAGCAGATGAAGACTAAATCAGTCCCAGGTGAAAACTTCAGCTCATTAGCTTTCACCCCTTTCTTCTTAGTTCCTCAAAATACTCTTCGATTCTATATTCAGTATTAGCTGAGAGGTTTATAGTAATAAAACTGCTTATTCTCTTGAAGAGTTCCCACACCCTCACTGTTGGAATCTGTTGTGCTCAAGTTAACCCATAGCAGACCTTCCTGAGTCTAGACTATAAGAATACTGCTGGCCGGGCGCGGTGGCTCAAGCCTGTAATCCCAGCACTTTGGGAGGCCGAGGTGGGTGGATCACGAGGGTCAAGAGATCGAGACCATCCTGGTCAACATGGTGAAACCCCGTGTCTACTAAAAATACAAAAAATTTGCTGGGCACGGTGGTACGTGCCTGTAATCCCAGCTACTCAGGAGGCTGAGGCGGAGGTTTCGGCGGTGAGCCAAGATCACACCATTGCACTCCAGCCTGGCTAACAAGAGCGAAACTCCGCCTCAAAAAAAAAAAAAAAATACTGCTAAGAAGTATAATGTATTTAAGCTAGATATCTTCTTGGAAGGGTCTCCCTTACCCATGCCACACATCCATGTCTAAACAACCAGAATGTGATCAAGTACACAATTATCTCTCTCTCTCTTTTTTTTTGAAAGATCGTCTTACTCTGTTGCCTAGGCTGGAGTGCAGCAGTGCAATTTTGGCTGGGTACACAATTCTCACTGCAAACATTTTATATAATCCTGAGTGCTGACAATGAGGAAAAATACAGAGTTTGCCCATGTCCCCAAAACTGACTGCATACCATGCCTCCTGACAGCCTGACACAATACTGCACTACAATTTCTCTTAAACACAAGGTGTAAATGAGCTTGTATAGTATCATCTATGGTTTTAACAAATGTATCTGGGTTCTTTTTCCTTCACTTATGTCAATTATGTCATACAGACCCAAACATAAAACCATATGCCTTCATGGCATCACAGGTCATGTGTCTATCTTCTATCTTACTCTGAAGTAAACAATCTTGAATTGTTCGAATATCCCTGAGGGATGAATACCTTCTGAAGTACTCTAAGTTGTGACAACGTGGGTGTTATCAGTCAGGATCTAGCCTGAAAATAAAGACCACTTGATTATTTAAAACAGAGAGGCGCCTGGGCGTGGTGGCTTACGTCTGTAACCCCAGCACTTTGGGAGGCCGAGGTGTGTGGATCACCTGAGGTCAGGAGTTTTGAGACCAGCCTGGTCAACATGGTGAAACCCTGTCTCTATTAAAAATACAAAATTAGCCAGGCCTGGTGGTATGTGACTGTATTCCCAGCTACCTGGGAGGCTGAGGCAGGAGATTTGCTGAAACCCAAGAGGTGGAGGTTGTAGTGAGCCAAGATCATGCCACAGCACTCCAGCCTGGGCAATAGAGCGAGACTCCGGGAACTGATCATATAGATGATCGAAGAGCTGAAAAGACAAACTGGTCAGTGAGGCACTCTAGAGATCATCTACAGCAGGAAGCCATCATCGCCCTCAGGCAAGCGGGCCAGAAAGGAGGAGACAGTGAAACTAGAACCCAGGGTCACCAGGTTCTGCCTGCAGTTCCAGTTTACCGTGGTTAGAGGAGGAGAGTAGGTGGAGACCCCCTCCTATTTCTGCCTTTCCACTGGCTGAAAACAGCAGAACACCAACGGCCTGGTAAACACAGCCTACAAGGGCTAATCCCCCAAAGATACTGCAGGGAAATGGCGAGGAACAGAACTGAGAGCAAATAGGCTCAGGACTAGCAATATGGGCCCCTGTGCAATTTGAGGCTTTCATAAAGCACTGCAATTGAATGTGAACACACATGGTACTGTGGACTCCCCAAACTGAACAATACTGTAGGCATCTTATGAAACATAGCAAGGCATGCTAGCACCCCATTTGAAAACAAATGTCTGCTGTAATCCCAGCACTTTGGAAGACAGAGATGGGTGGATCACCTGAGGCCAGGAGTTTGAGATCAGCCTGGCCAAAATAGTGAAACTCTGTCTCTACTGAAAATATAAAAAATTGGCCGTGTGGTAGCACTTGCCTGTAATCCCAGCTACTTGGGAGAGTAAGGCACGTAAACTGCTTGCAACCATGAGGCGGAGGTTGCAGTGAGCCAAGATCATGTCACTGCACTCCATCTTGGGCAACAGAGCAAGACTCCATCTCAAATTAAATATAAAAAAGAAAAGAAATGTCTGAAATTTATCAGATTTCTCTGATCTGAGATTCTGAAATCTGAAATATAGACTCATGCTCAGTGGAATGATTCTTTGACCCAATGCAAGTTGAAAATAAAGCCTCACTTTTAATACCCAAACAATTCTCAGAAGATGTTCTAAAAATGATGGTCTGACATTTTTGGTGAAATTTCATCATACAAACAAAAGGAACAACAAAGTAATCAACTCAAGAATAGTACAAAACTAACTCTATTTTTCACATTAGTTAAAAGTGTGTATACACTTTGAAACAGCAGATAATTTGAGGCTGATATTATTCTTTGAAATAGTTTTGAACTTATAGTTCAGAGAGGGGAGTCTACCTAGTATTCAAGAAATTTACTCAAAGCAAAACAGTGATGTCATGACCTGTCCCTGGTTTCCCAATCCTGCCCTCTAATTAGATAATTTTTTTAAAAATTCCACTCATGTGAAACACACATGGCCAAGTCCAGTGCCAGGGCTTCCCAAATGACAACAAGAAATCTCTGAGAGAATGGCCCACATCATATTTCCAAAGGGAATTATAGTCCTCTTTGGGGTTATTTCTAAATGTGAGCCAGCTGCCTGCATAGCCTCTGAGACTGTTGGCTAGAACAGACCACAACTTCTAGAACTACCCTGGGAGGCTGAGGGAGCCTGGAGTCTAGAACTAAGGTATGTTCTGATTCAGTTCAAACTTCTACAGAGAAACATTTTCAAATGCTAAGATATATCCAGCTAAACTGCTAGATAAACCCGAGAGGTGCTGGAGCTAACCTACACCATGTAACAAAATGTAGCAATGCCCATGATTATCAATGATCTCAAACAAGTCATTTAACTTCTCTGGTCCTCAAAATACACCTATAAAAAGAAAAGGCTGGACTCAGAGATCCCTCCCTATTCTAACATCCTATAAGCCTATATTTTGACTATTCTAACATTCTATAAGCCTATTCTAACATCCTATAAGCCTGTGTTTTGACATGTAGCATTGAGTTCTGTCTTCATTAGTGCCACATTTCTTGTGTCATAAATCACATGGCCAATACTTTTTTAAAAGGTCTGGCAATGCTCATAAGAGTCTTGGGGTGAGCAGAAACTCTCCTGAACAGTCTACACTCGCTAGTGCACATCAGTGGCATGCTAGCACCAGCTCATGCCAGTTTCCAAGAGCTGACTTACATTTTCAGGACGTTTGTGAGCTGGTTATTAAACCACTGGTAGGACAAATGGACAAGCAAAATGTGGTATATGCATACAACAGAATATTATGTGGCCATAAAAAGGAATGAAGTACTGACACATGCCACAAGAATGAAACTTGACAACATCGTACTAAGTGAAAGAAGCCAGTAATAAAAGTCCACATACTGGCCGGGCGCGGTGGCTCAAGCCTGTAATCCCAGCACTTTGGGAGGCTGAGGTGGGTGGATCACGAGGTCAAGAGATTGAGACCATCCTGGTCAACATGGTGAAACCCCATCTCTACTAAAAATACAAAAAATTAGCTGGGCATGGTGGCGCATGCCTGTAATCCCAGCTACTCGGGAGGCTGAGGCAGGAGAACTGCCTGAACCCAGGAGGCGGAGGTTGCGGTGAGCCGAGATCGCACCATTGCACTCCAGCCTGGGTAACAAGAGCGAAACTCCATCTCAAAAAAAAAAAAAAAAAAAAAGACCACATACTGTATGATTCAATGTATACAAGAGTCCAGAATAGGAAATCCATAGAGATAAAACAGTAGTGACTGATTAAGGCTATGGCAGAGGGATGGAATGGTAGAATAGATGGTTAGTAGTGAAAGGGATGGGGTTTGAGGTGGTGAAAAAATTCTAAAATTGGTGCTAGTGGTTGCATGTATCTATGAATATGCTAAAAAGCCACTAAACTATATTTTACCTGCGTCAATCATATAACATGTGGATTATAATTAAGATGTTTAAAAATAAATAAACAGGTGGTACATCAAAATTGGACCTGGGAGGAGTATCTATACCATGGAAATTGGCAAACACTATGAATTAGCCCTGTCTCTCTTCACACCAAACTGATTGTTAAACATTTACTGGCACCCAAGCGCACATGTCCTTCGGTGCAGAGGTTCCTTGCTGACGCAAATCTGAATTTACATTTGATCATCTGTCCATAAATCAATACATTTGGTTCCCTCAGAGGGTATTTCCTGGATCCAGAGTTCAGTTCTATTCCATAAACAATCAACACTGCAAGAAAATAATATAACTCTTAAGGTAAAATGGCACAATACTTACGAGTCAGTATCCAGTGAAAAGTAATCATACAGCTTAACTATTCTGGGATGATCCAGTTCTTTATGAATCCGGTATTCCCTACATGCGTGCCTGTAAACAAAAGGGCAAATTAACAAGAAAGTATATTGGCCTGCCTTTTATAACTCTTCAAAGATCCTCTGAAATATTCAATCATTTCTCTATTTTTTCAACATATTCATTCCATTCAGGTCCATCTGGTCCCTCATGTGATTTTTCTCTTTGGTCATCCTATTTTCTTTATTGGAATCTACCAAGCCATTGAGAAAATAATAGGTGCTCAAAAATTTGTTAAGTGAATGGATGTCAACTCTTTTCATCCCTTTTAAGTTCACTGTGTGATAATCATACCTCTTTTCCATTTATACTCACGTATCACAGATTTTAAAATTATGAGGACAGTTATTTTCTTTTTTAGAATGATTTTTTTTTTGAAAGGAAAGAAAAAAAGAAGTGAAGGAGAGGAAGAAAAAGAGGGAGAACGGGAATATTGCTTTATTCTAAAAATGGGTATTAATAATGGCAGATCAATATTTTGTGTATTTAAAGTGGGGAATGTATATTTTGTGTATTTAAAATGGAGAGCTCTATAAATATTTATTAAGTTTACTTGTTCCAGATCTGAGTTCAAGTCCTGGTTGTCCTCATCAATTTTCTGTCTCGTTGAGTCTAAATCTCTTTATGGGTCTTATGTATCTGGGTGTTAGGGTCGTTAGCTCTTATTGTTGCATTGATCCTTTTACCACTGTATCTTTGTTGCTTTGAAATCTATTTTATCAGATGTGAAAATTGCAACTCCTGCTTTTTATTTATTTACTTATTTTTGCTCTCCATTTGGTTGGTAAGTCTTTCTCCATCCCTTTGTTTTGAGTCTTTGTGTATCTTTGGGTGTGAAATGGGTCTGGATGTAGCATACTGTTAGGTTTTGGCTGTATCTTTTGATTGGGGGATTTAGTTAACTTAAATTTAAGGTTACTGCCATTTGATGTTAACTGGCTATTTTATCCATTCGTTGATATAAATTCTTCTTTATGTTGATGCTCTTTACTTTTTGGTATATTTTTAGAAAGGCTAATACTGGTTGTTCCTTTCTATGTGTAATGCTTCTTTCAGAAGCTTTTGCAAAGCAGGCCTGGTGGTAATAAAATCTCTGAGTACTAGCTTGTTCATAAAATATTTTATTTTTCCTTCAATTGTGAAGCTTAGTTTGGCAGGATATGAAATTCTGGGCTGAAAGTTCTGTTCTTTAAGGTTGTTGAATATTGGCCCCCACTCTCTTCTGGCTTGTAGGGTTTCTGCTGAGAGATCTGCTGTAAGTCTGATAGGCTTCCCTTTGTGGGTATCCTGACCTTTCTCTCTTGCAGTGAGAAAGGTCTCCCCTCTCTCTAAAGCTGATATATCATATCTGTAAAGGTATATATGCTGGGGTAACATCAAAGGGGTCAATGCTAGCATGTAAACCCCTTAGGTTAAAGGATTATCTGTTACATAAATCAATTAACAGTACTTTATATTTTTTGTTTTTAAATCCTCCTCCTTACAAAAATAATTTAAGTGCTATTAGCTTTATTCTAAGAAAATATAAAATGTGAAATTATGGAACCCCAGTTTTCTTAAAATGGTGAATTTGATACAGTCATCCACTGTGTAACAAGCCTTTGGTCAATGATGCTAAGCCACATATATGACAGGGGTCCCATAAGAGTATAACAGAGTTTCCCATGATTGAAGAAGCAAAAAAAAAAAAAAAGAGTTCAACAGAGCTGAAAATTCCTATCACCTGGTGACATAGTAGTCATGATGTCACCGCACGATTCATTACTCATGCTTGTGGTGCTTCCAGTCACATTAAAGTCTAGCACATTCAATTATCTACAGTATATAACACTGATAATGATAATAAATACATTATTGGTTTACGTATTGACTATACAGCAGGCCCTTAAATAGCATCATCTTGTTATAATACTGACGAGGTTAAAAAAAACCCCATCAGCCAGGCACGGTGGCTCATGCCTATAATCCCAGCACTTTGGGAGGCCAAGGTAGGCGGATCACTTGAGGTCACGTGTTCAAGACCTGCCTGACTAACATGGTGAAACCCCATCTCTACTAAAAATACAAAAATTTGCCAGGCATGGTAGTGGCTGCCTGTAATTCCCGCTACTCAAGAGGCTGAGGCAGGAGAATCATTTGAACCTGCGAAGTGGAGGTTGCAGTGAGGTGAGATTGCACCATTACACTTCCAGCCTGGGTGACAAAGTTAGACTTCATCTAAAAAAAAAAAAAAAAATCAATTCCTGGCCAGCACCACTGTCCGTGTGGAGTCTGTGTGTTCTTCCTATATCTGCACGGGTTTTCTCAGATTATTCTGCTTTCCTCCCATATCCCAAAGCCAAACGCGTTAGGTTCACCGGCATGTCCACATGGTTCCAGTCTGAGTGCATGTGTGGGTGCACCCACCCTGTGATGGGATGGCATCTTGTCCAGGGGTGGCTCCCACCTTACCCCTGAGCTGCTGAAATAGGCTCTGGCCACCCTCAACCCTGAGTAAGGAATGAGTGGGTAAACTGTTACCTTGTTTCTATTGATCTTTCTTAAATATAAAGTTCATATGTATTTCAATGTTTTAGTCCTCAGTTAGAGGCGGAGTAATGTATTTGTGACCAGGAATATGCCGCAGAAACTTAACTCTTGTTTATGTCAATGAGCCTACAGTAAAATTGGTTTTGTTACCCCTTGTTTCCATTAAAGTTGCAGTTTCCAAGAACCTATCACTGCTATCAAGTGAGGGCTTACTGTACTGCATTTTTTTGTTTTTGAGATGGAGTTTCACTCTGTTGCCAAGGCTCTCCAGAGGAGAGTAGCGCGATCTTGACTCACTGTGGCCTTTACCTCCTGGGTTCAAACAATTCTCCTGTCTCAGCCTCCCAAGCAGCTGGGATTACAGGTGCATGCCAGCATGCCTGGCTAAATTTTGTATTTTTAGTATAGAAGGGGTTTTGCCATGTTGGCCAGGCTGATCTTGAACTCCAGACTTCCATGATTCACCTGCTTTGGCCTCCCAAAGTGCTACGATTACAAACGTGAGCCACTGTGCCTGGCCTGTACTACTTTTTAGTCGTTTAAATTTTAGAGATTGGACACACTCGCTCACAGCCATAATCCCAGCACTTTGGGAGGCTGAGGCAGGTGGATTACTTGAGGCCAGGAGTTTGAGGCAAGCCTGGCCAATATAATGAAACTCTGTCTCTACTAAAAACAAAAAAGCAGCCGGGTGTGGTGGTGAGCACCTGTAATCCCAGCTACTGAGGCAGGAGAGTTGCTTGAACCCAGGAGGCAGAAGTTGCAGTGAGCTGAGATCGCACTACTACACTCTACCCTGGGTGATGGAGCAAGACTCCATCTCAAAAAAAAAAAAAAAAAAATAGAGAGTGTACTCCCTTCTACTTCTTTAAAAAAATTTTTTTTTTGGCTGGGCACCGTGGCTCATGCTTGTAATCCCAGCACTTTGGGAGGCTGAGGCACACAGATCACCAGGTCAAGAGATCGAGATCATCTGGCCAACATGGTGAAACCTAGTCTCTACTAAAAATACATGGGCATGGTGGCACACGCCTGTAGTCCCAGATGCTCGGGAGGCTGAGGCAGGAGAATCATTTGCACCCAGGAGGCGGAGGTTACAGTGAGCTGAGATCGTGCCACTATACTCCAGCCTGGCAATAAATCGAGACTCCGTCTCAAAAAAAAAAACACACAAAAAAACCCAACTATAAAACAGCCTTGGGCAGATCCATCGGGGGTAAAGGAGAAGGTATTGTTATCATAGGTAGTGAGGGGTGACAACTTCATTTGTGTTACTTTCCCTAAAGAACTTCCAGTGGGACAAGATGTGGAGGTAGAAGAAAGTGATATTGATGGGCTGACCGTGGGCTCACGCCTGTAATCCCAACACTTAGGGAGGCCAAGGCCCTGAAATCAGAAGTTCAAGACCCAACCTGGCCAACACGGTGAAACTTTGTCTCTAAAAAAAACAATTAAAAAAAAGAAAAGTGATATTGATGATCCTGACCTTGTGCAGGCCTATGCTAACGAGTGTGTGCATTGGTTCTTAACAAAATAGTTTTAAAATTTTCAAAAATTTAATCGAAAAAAGCTTATAGAAAAAGGATACAAGAAAAGAAGATATTTTCATACAACTGCACAATGTGTTTGTTTTAAGTTAAGTGTTACTACGAAAGAGTCAAAAAGGTAAAAAAAAAAAGGCAATTCTAAAGCAAAAAGGTTACAGTAAGTGAAGGTTAATTTATACTTGAAAAACATTTTAATAAATGTAGTGTAGCCTCTGTGTACAGTGTTTATAAAGTCTATAATAGTATACAATAATATCCTAGACTTTCACATTCACTCACCTGTTACTGACTCACCTAGAGCAACTTCCAGCTCTGCAAATTCCATTAATGGTAGGGGTGTACCATTTTTTATACTGTATTTTTACTGTGCCTTTTCTATGCTTAGATACACAATTAGTAACACAATTGCTGATAGCAGGGTCCCCAACACAGTACAGGTTCGTGCCTTGTTAGGAACTGGGCCACACAGCAGCAGGTGAGCAGTGGGTGAATGAGCGAAGCTTCATCTGTATTTACAGCTACCCCCCACAGCCTGCATTATGGTCTGAGCTCCACCTCTTGTCAGATCAGCAGTGGCAAAGATTCTCATAGGAGTGCAAACCTTACTGTGAACTGCGTATGCCAGGGATCTAGGATGTGTGTGCCTCATGAGAACCTAATGTCTGATGATCTGTCACTGTCTCCCATGCTCAGGGTTCCCACTGATTCTACATTACAGTAAGCTGTGCAATTAATTAATTATCTATTACAATGTAATAATAATAGAAATAAAGTACACAATAAATGTAATGTGCTTGAATCATCCTGAAACTATCTCCCCCTGTCCCCGGTCCACAGAACAACTGTCTTCCAAAAAACCAGTCCCTGGTGCCAAAAAGGTTGGGAATCACTGGCCTATAGTATTCAGGACAGTAACACGCTATACAGGTTTGTAGCCTA